CTATTTCCCTAATTGTGGCATATATGGTTTTATAAACCAACCTGGCATCGAAGATCTAGGGGGAATCTAGCCATCTGGGTGGCCCTTGGCCCCAAGCATCTGAAGACAAGCGCTTCCTGCTTCCTAACCTCAACTTTGCTTACAAAGCTGCCTTGGGACCTAAGCATGCTTTACTTGTTCTGTTCTACTTTATTGGGTGTCCCAGATACGTTATTGGGGTTTTTGTTTGTTTTCTTTTTAATGAACAGTACTGGCAACCCCTGTTGAACAAAGGAGCTCTTGTGGAGTAGTAATTCATCTGTTGGTCAGTGAACCTCAAGGTCAGCAGTTTGAACCCACCTACTGCCCTACAAGCACAAGATGAGACTTTATGCTCCCAGAAAGAGTTACAGTCTCGGAAACTCAGAGGGTAGTTCTCTCCTGTCCTGTAGGTTCCCTATGAGTCAGTCTAGATTCAATGGCAGTAAATTTGGTTTGGGGTTTTTGTGTTGAACAAGTGTGTGCCATTTTTTCCAACAGCACGTGCTCACTTTGTATCTGTGTCACATTTGATTATTCTTCTGTTTTTTCAAGTTTTTCCATAATGCATTTGCACACTTAATAAACTACAGTGCAGTGTACGCATAACTTGCATATGTATTGCTGTTAAAACAGCATGAGATAGCATCTGTCTTTCTCTGCCTTTGCAAGAGGGAGGGAAAATCAAAAGCAACCGCTGTAGGCTGATCCTTATGAGGCAGAGGTCACCCACATTTCTGCCCTTCAACCTTTTACTAATTCTAGCATCAACAGTCCCACACTGCTCTCTACTTCTCTGCTTGTTCAATTCATTGCAATGGCCACACAGAATGCACAGACAATACTGACAATTAGGGAGTTTGTTACGGAAGTAACATGTTACCACTTAGTATCAGGAACACATAGGATACAGTTCTTTGATCAGGGCAGATCTTAGGCATGCTTGCAGGCACACCTTCCTCTGGCCCTCTTTTAACTCTACCAATCAGTGCTGATAATCACCCAACGCTGCCAGCAAGCTTCCTGCCCAAAGGCTTAGTTCTCTTGCTGCATGGACTGGAAAACCCACCATGCCTTTCTCTGCCCATCTTCTAGTTTTGCTGCCACCAATTCTTCTCTGCCATTACTTATTACCACCTCTCACCACCTGTGGTGATACAGCTGTCTCTGGATTGACACGTTCAGCCCCGGGATCTGACTCCTCTTTTTTTTAATGGCAGCAAGATTAACCCCACCGCCCCCACTCCCACCCCCGTCTTCTCAGACTGTAGGTTGTCTCATTTTAAGCATAGTAGGGCTGGTCCTGCGGTGGGCCACAGGCTCTTCACGCTTGTATTGTCCTATACCAGTACTTTGCAGAGATTGACTGTTAAGTAATTAATTACTGTATATACTTGTGTATAAGCCTAGTTTTTTTCCAGCACATTTTTTCATGCAGTTTTTGTGGTAAAATTAGGTGTCTCCGCTGATACTTGGGTCAGCTTATACTCGAGTATATACAATAAAAGGACCATATTAAGTAATTCCAGCTCCAATATGCACTTATTTCTGCAAGGTTGGTAACCAGTATAACTAGGCAAGAAAAAAAGAAATAAAAGACACTTGGGTTGGAAAGGAAGAAGTAAAATCATCTCTATTTGTAGATGGTATGTTCTCATATGCCAAAAAATCCTACGGGGGGAAAAATGAGGAGTTGATACCGAGGGCTCAAGTAGAAAGCAAATGTTTTGAGAATGATGAGGGAAACAAATGTACAAAAGTGCTTGACACAATGGGTGTATGTATGGATTGTGATAAGACTTGTACAAGCACCCAATAAATTGATTATTATTATTATTTTTTTAAATTCTAGGCGCAACTTTCTGGGCCTTTTTCTCACCATTAACGTTTTCCATTTTCTTTAAAAAAAAAAAAAAATCCGAAGGAGTCCACTAAAAAACTATAGGATGATTAAGAATTCAGCAAGGTTGCAGAATACAAGATCAATATGAAATGTAAAAAGCAATTTATTTCTGTGTAATACTAATGATGTAACAAAAATACAATTAATAAAGCAATTTATATTAGCATAAAATATTTATAGATGTAAATTTGACAAGTATAAGCCTTGTATATTGGAAACTATAAAGCATTGTCAAAAGCAATGTAAACCTCTGACTACAAAGTTGATGATCTGAAAAGTAAACTCCCACCCAGTTTACAAAACACTTGAAAAGCAAAGACTATAGAACTGAAGGGAAAGATGCCCCGTGCTCGTGGGTCAGAGAGACACAGCCTGCGCAGAGAGTAGTCCCCAGCTGACGGACAGGTTCCCAGACGACCTTCGCAGAACCTGGCAAGCTGACCTTAAAACTATGGAAATGGGAGAAATTCAGAACAGCTAAAATAATCTTTTGAAAGTTAGAGAGCCAACACTTCATGATCTCAAAACTCTCTACAAATGTGTAGTAGTCAATGCAGTGTGATACTGTCTCAATAACATGTGCCTTGTATGTTTGATAGCCTCTGATCTTTTTACATGTGGCTATAAAAATTATCATAGCATTTCATAAAGATACCTCCCAGGGGCATGTTATTTGCATAAAAATATGGTAGATAAATAGTTAGAATTTAGATTCTAGAAAGACTTGGATATCCATATACGAAAGAAAGATATTGAATCCCTACCCCAGACAACACCAAAAAAATTTAATTCAGGATATATCAGACACTTTAAGTAATTTATTATCGCAAGCCTAGCATAATCAGACACATCAGTTATACTTTTACGGAGCCATGCAGGTTTGTTAGCATAATAAGCCAGAAGTGTTGCTCTAGCTTTTCAGACCGTGTTCTTAAAAAATCATGGACTCGGGGGATGAGAATACAGAGAGAAGTTTGGGTGGCTTTTTATGTCCTTCTAGATAAGAATCATTATTTAGGAATATTCATTATTTAATTAAAATGAAGCTAAACTATAAAACCCTGGAAGAAAAAAGGTCATTACCATAGACTTTGCAGTTTCTTTTTATGCAACTCTAGAAATACAAATAATAAAATATAGCAACTGGGCCACCAGAAAGATGAAATGTTTGAGAAAGTGAAGACACACCACAGAATGGGAGAAAATATTTGAAAATCATATAGGAGGAAAAACGAATGAAACGATAATGGAATTTTCCACAAACTTTTTAAAGTCTCATACACAATAAGGGACATATGTCCATAATACACATGAACTTTTACAGTCCTTTAGCTTTTACTGGGTATATCTGAATATGGAATTTCCTTATCTTTTGCTGAAACTCTATCAACTGTTTTATTCTATAAGTATTTTTTAAAACATTTTATTGGGGGGCTCGTACCACTATTAGCACAATCCATACATCCATCCATTGTGTCAAGCACATTTGTACATTTGTTGTCATTATCATTTTCAAGAAGTATTTTACCTTTTTAAAAATTCTAGTTTACTTCTATTGTTTTTATCCATAATCTTCAAATATTCTTCCTTTCCATTTTGCATATTGTGTCTTCTACAAAGGTTTGTTATATTTTGTATAGCATTTTTTTAAAGCATATCATCTCTTCTTGACTAATTCTGAATTAAAAGTGCCATTCAGGGTCCCACAACTCACTAGATTCTTATGTGCAGATTCTGTTTTCCACCTATCCCGTTACCCTCTACATTGTATTTTATATTGAATATGTTCTTTGTTTTCTGTATGACTTCTTCATATTGTTACATCTTAATATACTTTATTTTGCTTATTTTAAATTCTTGGCCTAACTTTTCTAGCTTCATACCACTGAGTGACTATGAGAGAGAGAGAGTGTGTGTGTTAGTTGGGGGGGGGGGGTTTCCCATGAACATTCTTGCCATGTCCCTGACCCTGTGCTAGATAACATGGGGAATGCACAATAAGTCTACAATGTGACAGGAACCCTCGTGGCACACTGGACTTAAGCGTTGGACTGCTAACCAAGTTTAAACCCTCCAGCCCCTCCTGGGAGAAATGAGGCAGATCTACTTTGTGGAGTTGCAGCAGGTTTTGCCATAAATGTAATGTAACTTTTCTCCTCAAGCTGACGATCTTGTTGGGGAAATAATAAGACTGATGCCAATTAGAGAGCATTGAAAGGAAAATGTGATTTATATGGTAAACTTCCTGGTGCTGTTGGTGTTAAGAAGCCTGTGCAGGTGGAGGGAGGGTGGGCTGACAAGGGAAGCCGATTACTAGGATCTACATATAACCTCCTCCCTGGGGAACGGACAACAGAAAAGTGGGTGAAGGGGAGACGTTGGACAGTGTAAGATATGACAAAATAATAATTTATAAATTATCCAGGGTTCATGAGGAGCTGATGCCAGGGGCTTAAGTGGAGAGCAAATGTTGTGAGAATGATGAGGGCAATGAATGTACAAATGTGTTTTCCACAATTGATGTATGTATGGATTGTGATAAGAGTTGTATGAGCCCCTAATAAAATGATTTATTTTTACAAAAGAAGACGAAGCCTGCACAGATACAACTAACTACAGAAGTACTGAGTGGACTACACATAATGAAATTTTATTGTGAAGGCAAATGATAGGGTAGATGCCAAGGGGACGTTAAAATGGGCCTGGGAATACAGACCGTTGAGTGTGTATACTGCTCCTCTGGGAAGAGACAGTTAGTACCGTGGATGAGAGCACAGACCAGAGCCAGCGGCCTACGTTCAATGACAACATGGAAGAAATCTAAAGGGCTAACCATTTTGTTTCAGGTCTGTGACTGTCAAAGAGTGTGACATCTAGGTGACTTAAAAAAAAATGTTGACTAGCTAAATACTTTGTCGTGTGTAATTTTTAAATGGAAATCATTTAATAGATACCTTTTATGTTGTTTGGAAAAATGTCTTAATCTAATTTTGATTTGTTTTTAGTGTTTCAGCTTCTCTCTCCACAACTAGGCATTATCTGTAAAGTATTTGTGACGATATTCTCTTTGCTTTCACAGACCAGTTGGAATGCCAAAAATGGAAAAAGTTTACTTACACAATCCTAGCTCTGAAGAAACTATTACTTTAATATCCATTTCTGCTACAACGTCACATTTTCATGCATCATTTTTTCAAAGCAGGGTAAGTTCCCTGCCGTAGGGGATTTCTCGTGGGTGGAAATGCCTGCAAGTCTGTTGTCTGCAGCAATGACGGCCGGATCGAGAGGCTGGGCAGTGTGGCGTTCTGGTGGGCGTAGAGTTGTGTTGAGTTGGGGGGACTCAGCGGTACCTAGTAGAACACTTTTATTGATAATGGTATTTGCTGCAGTCAGATTGGTTTGAATGTTTATATCTGTTCTTGACTTTTAGTTTTTCCTATTATCTAAGAACTATTAGTTCTACCTTTAAATATATTGATTTTCTCAACCTTAAACCACTTTCAAGAATCACATGCACAACTGAGACCTAAGCACTTTGAAAAAAATGTAACATTCTTATGTTCCGTTTATTTTCTCTTCCTTCCTAAGAATGAGTAACTCCTCAGCATTCTATCATTTTATAATGCTGTGTCACAAATTTCCACAACGGAGTGGCTTACATCAACCCGCATTCATTAGCACACGGTTCTCCAAGTCACAGTTCCAGCACTGCTTGTCAAGAGTCTCTGCTCAGTGTCACAAAGGTTAGGTTAAGATGTTGCCCAGTGTTATCTGGAGTTTCTGGTGGGCAATCCACTTTCCAATAAATCCAGTTGTTGGCAGCATTTATTATCCTGCGGTTATAGGATGGAGATCCTCCGATTCCTTGCTGGCTGTCAACCAGGATGCTTCAAAGCTCTCTGACCTCCTATTCTGCCACCAGTTGGAGAAAACTCTGCTTTGAAAAAGCTCCTGTAAGTGGATTATACCTACACAGAGTGAACTGATTAGTAACCTTAATTATATATGAAAAATCCTTTTTCTTACTGAATGTAAATAATCATGGGTATGATATCTTACTATATTCACAATCTCTAGAGATCAAGAATAGAAGTCTTGGGGCCAGTTTAGGATTCTGCCTACTTCAAGCATTCTCAAAAATTTTATGTCATTATTTTTGTTGATAGTATGTAAAGTTGTTACTTAATCATTTTTTCCTACTAAAAATTATTTTGAAAGTAAACTTTAACTTCATAATACAGTAAACATTAATATATGCTTTCAAAGTATATCATGAAAAAGCAACTATGAGAGAGAAGTAAATGAATAGGATTGTCAACGGCTCCTTTGAAAATATATGACCAAATAACTGTGAAGGAGTGTTTTCTAAAGCATATAAAGTGTGAGTTGACAAATTCATATCAATTCTAGATTTTTATAGCTCTCTTTAGTTTTACATCATCATATATAATTAGCCAAGACCTTCCAAAGTAAAGAAGAAAATGCAGCTTTGGGTTAAAGTCTTACTTTAGTGATTCTTTTTTAATTTAAAGTTATTTTTAAAACAAAGAATTACGAAGTCAGTATATTACTTTTGGAAATAGATTATAAAAAGTGTTTGGAACTTATGAAAAATAACCTGTTCTAAAATAGTTCTTAAAGTAACAATTTCCCTCCTTATTCTTTGTTGTTACCTAAAAGATAATTTCACAATTGTTAACATGGTAACTCCCAAGATAGCTTATATATTATTATCCGAAAGATACTTTTACATTCATTACAAATCTGCTGATGTTCTCGAATAAAAGAATTGTAAAACTGAGCAAGACCTGCATGCTCATCTGATCTAGGGTTCTCTTTATCCAGGCCCGAGCCCCAGGGAAGTTTGCCTCAGTCAGAACCGAGAGTCAGGGTCTAGGTGTTCTCCTGGACTACTCCATTGTTTGGCTCATGTTAAGCTTCTGTGTGCCTGTCGGCCTGTATGTCGAGGTGGACTTATTTATAAATGGAAACTCGTTTTTTAGGTATCGTCAGTGGTCAATGTCGGGTTTAAGGGTTAAATAGTGAAGTTACTAAAAAATAGAGGCAGTACAAAAATAGTTCCCAATTTCATTATATTTGTTAACATTTTGGCATACTTTATTGCTTCAAACACTGTTTAATTGTTGTTTGACATGCCAAGCTTCATCCTTTTTAAAGACCAGCTTTTCAGTTTTTCACTGAGTTGCCACGCTTAGAGCGGCGAGCACAGATTAGTACGGAGGCCGAGGAGGCCGTGAAAACCAAGGGAAGGAGGCCAGCGAAAGGAGTAGTGAACTGGATCGCATGTGGCTCATGCACAGGGTCAACCCACCTGTGTCCTCACAGTGGGCGGGAGTGTAAGCCCATGTGCAGTTCTCATTTTCCAAGACAAATCAAAGATGCGGTTTTTTATAAGTTACCACCCAGATTATATACACGAAGGATAAATTTAATTTTATGACATGAACAAAACAAACTCAGTTTGAAGGCTACTAATTTGAAATCTCTAAACTACACTGCTAGGGAATTATTTTTACAAATGAAGCTTATTGCAAAGTGGTTTCTCTAAAAATGATATAAAAGAGCAACTAAACATGTTTGTAGTCAAAGAACAAAAATCTGTCTGGGGTTTTGCTCTGAGGAAAAAATATGAAACAATAAAAACAGTCTATACTCTGTCAGAATCTACCTTTGGATGCCAATTGAAATGTTTCCACAAGCTTGTGGAAACTAGAAGCACTCGTTCGGCTATGCCAAGAACTTTGAAGCTGACTACCTAGTGGACCACCAGAAGAGACCCTGTCTGTGCCCATTCCAAAGAAAGGTGACCCGACAGAATGTGGAAGTCATCAATGTCATTAGTATCACATGCAAGTAAATGTTTGCTGAAAATAATTCAAAAATAGTTGCAGCAGTGCATTATCAAGGAGGTAGCAGAAATTGAAGCCTGATTCAGAGCAGGACATGGAATTAAAGAGATTATTGCTGATGTCAGATGGATCTAGCCTGAAAGAGAATACCAGGAAGATGTTACTAGAGTTTTATTGAATATGCAAAGACTTTCAGCTGTGTGGATCGTCACAAACTGTAAGTACGGTTGAGAAGAATGGGGATTCCAGACCAAAAGGCGGTCTTTTGAACAGAACAAGGAATACTGTACTGTTTAAAATCAGGAAAACTGTGTCCTTTGACTATACTTGGTCAGTCTATATGCTTAGCAAAATTCAGAGAAGCCAGACTATGTGAAGCCAGACTATCCGCATTGGGTTGGAGGAAGGCTTATTAACAGCCTTTGATATACAAGTAAGAAGCTTTGCTAGCTGAAAGTGGGAAGGGCAAGCAGGACAAGGCTGCAGCCTTCAGAGTAAATAGTGAAGGTACCACGGACTGCTAGAGAACCAGCCAATCAGTCTTGGGACAGTGCATCCCGAACGCTTCTTAGAAGCAAGGATAGTGCGACTTGCTCTCACGTGCTTTGGGCTCGTTATCAGGAGAGACCAGTCCTTGGTAAAAGCAGATCAGTGGAAAAGAGAAAGACTCTAGACACTGTGTTGGCACAGTGGCTGCAGAAATAGGCTCAAGCCTCGCAACAGTTATAAGGAATGGCGCAGGGCCAGGCAGTGTTCCTTCATTCTGTGAAAACAGCTCCACAGCACTGACCGGCCTCATCGTGAAAGCACACCCACGTCGATGGACACTACAGTGCACCTTATAGTCCAGGGATTCGCAAACAGTCAGCCACAGGCCCAATTTGGTCCTCAGCCTGGTTTTCTTGTTGTTGTTTTTTAACCTCTTATTGGAGCTTGTACAACTCTGATCACAATCCTTGCATCCATCGCTTGTGTCAAGCACATTTGTACATCATTTTCGAAACATTTTCTTTCTACTTGAGCCCTTGGTATCAGCTCCTCATTTACCCCCCTCCCTCTCCCACTCTCCCTTATGAACCCTTAATAATGTATAAATTAATTTTTTTTAATGTCTCACACTGACCAATGTCTCCCTTCACCCACTTTTCGTTGTCTATCCCCCTGGAAGGGGGTTATATGTAGATCATTGTGACCGGTTCCCTCTTTCTCCCCCACCTTCCTCCTCCTCCTGTGATAGCTACTCTCAGTATTAGTCCTGAGGGGTTTATCTGTCCTGGGTTCCCTGTGTTTCCAGCTATTTGGACCAGTGTACATCCTCTGGTCTAGCGGATTTGTGAGGTAGAATTGGGGTCATGACAGTGGGGGGAGGAAGCATTAAAGAACTAGAGGTCAGTTGCCTCAGCCCGTTTTTATAAGGCTCATAACTAAAGGTGTTTTTTAAAAAATTATATTGTCAATGTCATAAAACAAGAATGTGCAACAGAGAGTGTGCGTGTCCCACAAAGTTCAAAATACTGTGTAGCCCATTTGCATAAAAAGTTTGTTAACTGTCTATATCCTTACTGATTTCCTGTCTCTATTTATTGATTACAAAAAGAGTATCAGTCTCCATTTATGGTTGTGGATTTCTCCTTTCTCTGAGCTCTACTAGTTTGCCCTAGTGCATTTTGAAGCTTGTTACTAGATTCATACACATTTAGAATCGTTAGGCCGTCTTGTTTGACGCTCATCATTATATAATGTCTCTTTGATCGTGGCTAACAGAGAAAGGTATCTTCTGTATGATATTAATTCAGTCATTCCAGCTTCTTGTTATTGTGTTTCCATAGCGTATGGTGGATTTCTTGTACCTTCATTGTAAAAGGGGCTTCGGGGTGGTGTCTGATCTCGTCTAACGTCACTGGGGCAGGAGAGAATCAGCAGCAGTTCAAGGCTGCTTCCTCTGACGTGGAAGTTACACACGCCTCCACCTGCCAAGCTTTTCACCAGTTCTGACATCAGCTGGCCTTCCTACGGCATTCTCTACTTCTCTGCTACGTTTGATAGTTCATTGCATGGCCACACAGAATTCACAGACAATGTTCACAGTTAACAGAGTTTGTTGGGAAACCAAGAGGCTGCAATTCAGAATTGGCAACGCTTAGGCTACAGTTCTTCAATCAGGAAAATTCCTCAGCCGTGCCTGTAGCCATCTCTCTCTCTCTGACCCTCAACCTTTCATTCATGCAACTCTGGCTTCTATCCTGTTCAGACAGACTCTTTTAGTTCTGCTGATAAATGCCCAAAGAAACTGCGCTCTACCCATAAACCATAGCCAGAAGGCTGTCAGCTCCAGCTTTGTGCATCATTGAACCTAGCCCCCCAGTCAAATGCCCAGACACATACCGCTCCACCAGTGTTACAAAGCTCTTTTGAATCTGCCAATAAGTGCCTGCCAGAGGCACCCCACTCCATCAGCAAGAGTCCATCCAAGACACTCAGCTCTAATTCCAGGGTCAGCAAACCTGCCTCCCCAGAAAAATGCTCAGAGACAAGTCACTCTGCCACTAAGCCTCCTGCGCAGAGGACCCAGCTTTCTTGCTCTGTGGGCCAGGAAGCCCTGCCTCATACCTGGTTCTCCGCCTGTGCTCTGTTTGCTGCCGCCATCTCTCTACCGCTGCCTCTTGTTGTGTTTCCCCTTCCTCCGGGGTTACAGCTCTACCTCCTGAATCCAGGAGGTTCCACCCAAGAATCCTAGGTCCAAAGGATGTGTTGCACTTCGGGCTCTTCTTTCTTGTTGGTTATAAGATCTTCTCTCTCTCTCTGGGATGGCTCATTTGAAACCTAGTGGAATAGCACAACTCACCCGTCTTCCCGGTAGGGGGCATATATTCCCACCCCCACCTAGGGTACCTTGCTAATACAGCTATTGGCGAACTATATAATCCCCTTCCCACTCTGCCCATCCGTGGTCATTTGCTGGGCGCTGGGGCCTTTCTAGCCATAGTCTTTCCATCAGATTGCATTGCCCTCACTGTGGGGCAGTGGAACTGCCCGGTAGGCCGTAACTCTGAACACAGACCACCTGCCGTATCTTTCTCCCAGTGTGCTTGATAAGTGTGCACGACTAATCTTTCACTGCGTGCTTGCCCACTGCCGCAGAGTTCGCTCCGTGCAGTTTCTCCCTCCCCTTGAGACATCATATAATTGGGCCTTTCTTTTCTTTTTCTATCCAAAGGGGTCGTGACCCACAGGTTGAGAACCACTGGTCTAGATCATTTATATTCAGTGTCATTTATGAGTATCATTGAATTTAAAGCTTTCAGGGTCCTGGTTGTTTTCCTATCATTCCATTTGCCGTGTATTTCTTTTGTCTACTCTTGTTGCCTTTTCTCTCATTGATACATCTCTTTGCTGGCTTGTGCAGTTAGTGCATACAACTGCCTACTGAAAGGTTGGGGGTATCACTCCCCCAAAGGTCAGACTGTCGGCCCTGTGAGAGCAATCGTGGAAAACCCAAGGGAGCACATTCCTGCTGGAACATACATGGGTCACCATGAGTTGAAGCAGCTTCACAGCAGTTAGCTTGTCATCTTAGATTGACTGGTTATTTACAGCTGTTTTAGATGTTAGAGGGTCCATGGTGCACCTTTTACTTCATCTCAGTCTGCCTTCGAGTCATGTTACACTACTTCATCTGTAGTCTAAGTATCTTATAGCGTGTGTGAATCATTTTCTCATCTGGAAAGCATTTGGCTATGGTGTGTTTTTGGCATGTCTGCCCTTTAAGGTCTTCTTGGATCACTTCGGTTTGGGGTGGGAGTTGGTTTGGTGCAGTGTATTTCTTCGCGGTCTTCACCCACTGTTGTTGAGAGCCTCTGCACCGAGCATTCCAGATGCTGGTGGGGGATGCCAGTAGCAGATTCACAGTAGTCCAAGTGAAAGGAAACTGCGGCCTTGGCTGGGGTGCTGGCTGCGTGGAGAGAGAAGTGCGCACACAGAAGAAAGCTTAGGAGATGAGTGAAATGGCAAGAAGGAAGGTGTGATTAGAACAGGCATCAGCAGGAAGTGAGAGTCTACATTCATGGCGTGAGAAACTCAGAGAGAGGGGCAGACCTGTGCATGTGACTGTGTGCGTATGTGTACAAACTCCCATGCCGGGGTCCAGGATGGGTTCAGCTTGACAGGCTGAGTGTGGGGTTGCATATGGAGTTAACAGTTTGAGATTTAATGGAAGTACAAATAATGCATTAAGTCAATGACTACTATATTAAGACCATAAAAGCAGGTGACATTTTAAAAATAGGTTGAACAGAGACTTTGTGTTGAGAGAGACGATGCACTATGTAAAAATAGCTGGATCCTTTCCCCCTTTTTAAGTGTAGAAAAGATGACAAGTAGAGCGCAGCCTTAATAGAGATGAGATGTGGGGAAGAGTTTTCATGGGGATTAAACCATAGTAGCCTCACAGCAGAGCCCCTGCATTGTTCAAATGGTTAATGTGCTGGGCAGCTAACCAAAGGTTGGAGGTTCAAGTTCACCTAGAGGTGCCGCAGAAGAAAGGCCTGGCAACCTACTTTGGAAACATTGAGCCATTAAAAGCCCCTATGGAGCATGGTTCCGTTGTGATACATTTGGACTCATCAGTAACACTGTAGCCACACAATATCCCCTCTTTGGCCAGCTCTGGATATGGGTGAAGCATCTTGACAGATAACACAGTGGAGTTGCACCCCGGTGCCATTTGGCAGACTCGTTTATTAAACAGATGTTTTACCTATTTCTGTAGTCATTCCTTGGCTTACCCCTTGTCCACGCTTTGCGGCCTGCAATACACCATTGGGGTGTTAGCTGCCCCTAGGTCGGCGCCCAGCTCATGGCACGCTGCTTGGAGTTACCTTATCTCACTACCCAGGGGCCAGGCATTATCTGTTGTCCTGATTCAGCCTCTGTTTTCCTGAATCTCTACAGTGAGCTTTTTAAATCATGGTGCCCTTATTTTCATGGTGGACAAGCTCTGCCTGGAGCCTTGGTTGATTTCACGTGGGTTATATGTAACACCCACTCCTCACCCCCGGGATAGTGGTAGCTCGTCACCTGTGCCAGGCAGAGTAGGGCTCAGGGGCAGGTCCTTTGTGCTGACAAACCTAGCTGTCTTCGGTCAGTTGGAAGAGAAGAGAGGAGGCACCTCGGGATCCCACACTTACACCAACTTTTGCATGAGCACGTGATGAGATCTATAAAGAGCCACCTCGGAGTGCATGGGAATGCCCCATGGCGCTACGGTGTCCGATGGGGCTGTGCTCCTCCCCTTGGCCTCGGTTGTAGCTGATGTGGTTAGATGCCCTTTAATCCGTTCTGACTGGACCCAAAGGGATTTCATGGCTGTGACCTTTTGGAAGTAGATCTCCAGGCCTGTCGTCTGGGGGGGCTCTGGATGGCTTCGCACCACCAGTAGTCCAAGGCCTGTTTGTGCCAGCCAGAAACTACTTGGCTTCTAGCAATGTCTAAAAATTGTCACCCAATTATTTTACCTTCTCATACGGTGGCCTGTTGTCTTCCCGTGCTCTCTGGCTCACCGTCACTCGCGTTCTGTCTCTCAGTGGCACCTGTCTTTCCTACATTTCAGGGTAGTTGGTAACTAAGCTCTCTGATGTAGTCAAGAAAATTAGTTTGCCAATTATTCTGCTGTGTGTGTGTGTGTGTGTGTGTGTGTGTGTGTGTTAAAGTGGGTAGAATGGACTTTTTAGCAGTTGCCATCTTAAAATGAAGCCAGAAGTCTCCATGCCGTGCATTTTGTGCCACAGCTTGGGGTTCATTTTAGAGATTCAACAATGGGACAGAATGAAAGAGATTGACGGCTTCCTTGACACCAGAACTTTACGACAAGTCAACTCCTGATCTCCTGGACTACATGGACATTCCTGGCGTCTTATAAGGGAAATACTCTATTTCACAACTACAGCATTCCTGGTGCAGACAAGAACAGAAGTGTGTTGCCACACATACAGTCCCTCCTGCCTGTTTCATCACTTAAGTTGCTGGCATGTTTGGTGGTGTGTTTCCTGTGCAGATAGGGAGCAAGCCTGAGGCCTGGGCTTACTGTCTCTGAAGTAGTACATGCTGCCTGGTGATAGGCTAGTACATACATCTCTGTGAAATGTGCACCTTCAGCTTAACTCCAGCTCAACTGTGTGATGATGAAATAGCCTGTAATTAGGCATTTCATTCAAGATGAGTGATTATTGAATGAACAAAGTCCCAAGATCCCATCTGCTATACAGGGGTTTAGCTGGTAATTGACAAAGAAATGTGATTGTAAGCATCTGATATGAAGACATTGTCTTTATTATTCCTTATTGCATAGTGGTTTGGCTAATTTAAACTGTAAGAAGGGAAATGAACAGATTATGGAAATGCTTTTGGTGTTTATTTTCAAGAACATTGGCTGTCTAATTTTGGTCAGTGTCATGTCCTGCCCCCTCTACCCTTTCTCTTACTGCCAATTTGACTTTTTATTGCTTTTTCTCCCCCTCCCCTCCCCAGAAAATTCTTCCAGGAGGAAATACATCATTTGATGTCGTTTTTCTTGCAAGAGTAGTGGGGAATGTAGAAAACACTTTATTTATTAACACATCTAATCATGGAGTATTTACTTACCAGGTAAGAACAGAATAAAAAACTGTTTATTTCATAAAATCTAGTCATCATGTCAGACCTAACACGTGAGAAGACCCCTGTAAGAATCTACTTCAGACAAGTAAGAAGACAGTAATCTAAGCATTTAGACTTAGAGTATTCTTAAACTGACTGCTGTGTCTGAATATTCAAATGAAAATCTGAACAAGTAATATCAAAGGCATAACTGGAGTGTTTCTATAGGTTTGGTTGGCAAAAGAACACTTAATATGTTTCCAGTGACTTTCAAAATGTTTTTAATGTTTTACTTTTTGGCACACTTAGGGAGCATGCAAGGTAATGATTTTAAAATAAAATATGTACATGGATGCTCTTAATAAGCATATTGTTTAAAATATTTGGAAAAGTTCATTATTTTTGCATGGTGTCATTGTTTTAACCAAACTCCCTGCCATCAAGTCAGTTCTGACTCTTGCCGGCCCTGTTGTAGGGCAGGGTAGAAGTGCCCCTGGGGGGTGCCAAGACTGCAACTCTTTACAGGCGAAGAAGGCCTCATCTTTACCCCCGAGCATCAACTGGCGGTTTCACACATGCTAACCTAACAGTTGGCAGCCCAGTGCTAAACCACTACGCCACCAGGACTCCTTAGGTTATTAAAGAGAGCTTATTTTTATGGGCATCATAGAGTAAGTCTTTTTATATATCAGCTATCTCCTGTTTTATGGCTCATGATTTTTTTATATTAAGATTATCAATATTATTAAGAATTATTTCTATTAGTCTAGTACTGAGCCTTTAATTCTCACAACTGCTATAAGGTTGCTTTTATTTTTTAAGGAAACTAAAGTTTACCCAGGTTAACTCATTTACCCAAATCTCCCTCATATTAAGCCGTTGAGTGTGGACCTAACTATAACTACAAAGCCCACATTTTAAACCTCTGTGCTGCTCCTGAAATTCAGTTCATGAAAGCCTCACTAAGCCAATTTCTTGTGTGTATACATACTTTACATTTCAAGTGTCCAGAATGTTTCATAACTTTTGAAATTAAGGGTCAGAGTAAACATTTCATTTTATTCTGAAGCTATGTTTTATGCTTACTTATGGTGAATTACTCTTCAACAGTTGTTTAGTACTTTAAACAAATTTTGGTGCCTGATTCATGATGAAGTGCTATATAGTGATGCCTACTTAGCATTACTTGTTGAGTAAGTGAAGATAATAGAATAAGAATGAAGGCCTTTGGCCCTCCAAAGGCATCCCACAACTGACTTGAATTACATCCTTTCTAGACTACCTGTTAGTTAGGGTCATGTTGTTTCTAAGGTGAGCTCCAATAGCCAATTGTTTTCTTTCTTTACAGTCTCTCACTGTAAAGTGCATTTGTTCTAAATGCACATAAAGTCTGTCTATCCCTCTCCTTCACCCTCCTGGCTTTATTTCAAGCCACCAGCATCTCCCCCTGAACTAGGTGTTAGCCTTCCCACTGGTCTTCTACTCACCCCACCCGTACCACTGTCCATCTGTCTGCTCTCTTCACTGCATGAGTTAGTCTTCCTAATTCATATCCATTGAGGCCATTTCTTGTTGCCAGAGGCCTGGTAACCAGTGATCTTTTTAAGATAAATAAGATTTAGTCAAGTTCCCTATGTAAAGTATATGTCTTCCCACTGTTCTTAGAAAAAAATTTAAACCTCTGGCTAAAACCAAGAAGGCCCTAAGGGTTTGGCTGTGATTATCTTTCAGTCCCATTTGACCATGCCTCTGATCTTAGCCCCGATCTTCAACAAGCCGTGCCTACCCCTGTCTTGGACCCTTTGCCTGGTCTTTTGTCACCAGGTGGGCCCTTTCTCGTCTTTCAGCTGATACTTCCCAATGTCACTTCCTCAGAGAAAACGATCCTGGTCACCATCTATAATAATACCCCAGCCTCACTCTAACCAGTCAATATATACCACATTACATTCTTTTCAGTGTTTCTATTAGTATGTCGTCTGCCTGTCCTACCAGAATGTAAATTCTGTGAGTGCTAGCATGGTTTCTGTCTATTGGCTACTGAACGGTTCACCGCTCTGGGTTTGTGCCTAGCATACAATAAACAGTTTTCACAGGAATGACAGCTCACAGTGCTTAGTCTCCCAGGTGGAAATCACCTGGATTTTGGAGCGATCATCTGGACCATAGGTCCCATCATGATTGACATAAAGATATCGTCTTTGTGCCCCCTCTTGTCCATGACTTCATAAAGGAACATTTTCAGTGTATTCTAGAATTTATTGCAAATGAATATGTCAGACATGTAGCCAATGTGTGGAGTTCTTGAGAAAGGTTGCTACGATTTTTCCATCTAAATTAAATTACCGGTTGCTCTAAATCAATCAGTTTTAACTATAAAAGTATTAGTTGTCCAAGTAACTCAAATTATTTTTTTTTCCCCTCCATTGAAACAGGTATTTGGTGTTGGAGTTCCAAATCCTTATCGACTGAGGCCATTTCTCGGGGCCAGAGTCCCTGTGAATAGCAGTTTCTCCCCTATAATAAGCATTCACAACCCTCACAGTGAGCCTTTACAGGTGAGCTTATAGATCATGAATTGCAATGAGCTGAACGCTGGTGGAAGTTAATGCTTAACTAAATCTATGTGTATAGTTTTCATTACTATTTAAAATGAGTTTTTAATTATTTTATTGGGGGCTCGTACAATTCTTATCACAGTCCATACATACATCCATTTTGTCAAACACATATATACATTTGTTGACCTCATCATTCTCAAAACATTTGCCTTCTACTTTAGCCCTTAATATCAGTTACTCATTTTCCCCCTCTCCCCCCTCCCTGATGGACCTTTCATAATTCATAAATTATTATAGTTTTGTCATAAGTTAAACTGTCCAACGTCTCCCTCCGCCCTCTTCTCTGCTGTCCATCCCCCAGGGAGGAGGCTATACTTAGATTCTTGTAATTGGTTCCCCCCTTCTACCCCGCATTCCCTTCACCCTCCAGCATCGCCCCTCTCACCACTGGTCCAGAAGGAGTCATCTATCCTGGATTCCCTGTGTTTCTAGTTGCTAGCTGTACAATGTACATCCTCTGGTCTAGCCAGATTTGCAAGGCAGAATTGGGATCATGATAGTGGGGGGGAGGAAGCATTTAAGAACTAGAGGAAAGTTATATGTTTCATCGTTGCTACCCTGCACCCTGATTAGCTCATCTCCTCCCCACAACTCCTCAGCAGGGGGGTGTTCAATTGCCTACGGATGGACTCTGAGTCTTCACTCTGCACTCACCCACCTTTATGGTGACATGATTTCTTGTTCCTTGATGCCTGACACCCAACCCCTTTGACAGCTCGTGGTCATACATGCTGGTGTGCTTCTTCCATGTGGGCTTTGTTGCTTCTGAGCTAGTTGGCCACTTGTTTATCTTCAAGCCTTTAAGACCCAGACGCTATATCTTTTGATAGCCAGGCACCATCAGCTTTATTCTCCACCTTTGTTTATGCACACGTCTGTCTTAAGTGATCGTATCAGGAAGGTGAGCACCCACTGATCTGATTTTTAGTTCTTTGGTGTCTGATAACTGGTCCCTTCTGCACCTCGTGATCAGACAGTCTGGTGTGCTTCTTCCATGTGGGCTTTGATGCTTCTCAGCTGGATAGCCGCTTGCTTATCTTCAAGCCTTTAAAACCCCAGATGCTATATCTTTTGATAGCTGGGCACCATTAGCTCTCTTCACCACATTTGCTTATGGACACATTTGTCTTCAGTGATTGTGTCAGTAAAGCGGGCACCCACTGATATGATTTTCAGGGACGGCGTGTCTCCTGTTGGGTTCAGCCATATTGTCCACTCTGTCCACTGGCTGTTCAGAGCAGGGATGTGGTCCTCCAGGCCTGGTGGGTCAGGATGTGCTCCACTCTCTCTTCCTCCCCCTAAGTGCTCCCATTTGCTCTTCTCAGACATGCCCCTCTTCCCTAGCTGCAGCTTCGTTGCCATCCTCTCAAGTAGATTCTTCGGGGGAGTGGCTGTTGTCCACGTAGCTGGCATGGGGGCCGAGCCCTCAGGCCCCTCCTCTGGCTCCCTACTCCTTGCCAACAAGCTGCATTCACCTGGCACTGGCTTTAAATCTGGTCCCTCTTTCCCTGTAGAGACACAAACAATGCCCTTCCCTTGGGTGGTCAGTGCCCTATTCCCCCATCACATATCCTTTTTTTTTTTTTTTTCCTTTCCCCATTCCTCCCCTCGCCCCCTTTGTGGTTGGCTACCCTATGTACCCCTGGATTTGGTCTGGCACCTGCCATACTACCTGGACCGTACCCCTAGAGTGCTTGTATACAGTAGCTTTTTCCTGTGCCCCTTTTGCATTTACCTTTCTGTTCTTTCATATATATATATAACATGTTATACTTGTCCTTTTGTGCTTGGCTTACTTTGCTTAGCATTATTTCCTCCAGTTCTTCCCATGCGGCGAAATGCTTCATGTGTTCATCGCTGCTTTTTAGTGATGCATAGTACTCCATTGTATGTATGTACCATAGTTTTTTAATCCATTCATCTGTTGATGGAAATTTGAATTGCTTCCAACTCCTTGCGATTGTGAACTGTGCCTTAATGAACATTGGAACTCAGATGTCTGGCAGTGGTTTGTTTCTTGCCTCTTCTGAGTATATGCCCAGTAGGGGAATTGCTGGGTCATATGGTAACTCAATTTCCATCTGTTTGAGAAATCGCCAGATCGATTTCCATAGTGGCTGTACATATCTACAGGTCCACCAGCCATGGATGAGAGTTCCTGTATCGCCACAGCCCCTCCAACACTTGTTGCTTTCTGATTTTTTGAATTGGGCTATCCTTGAGGGTGTTAGGTGGTATCTCATAGTTGTTTTGATTTGCATTTCTCTTATGGCTAATGATCGGGAACATTTTCTCATATGTTTACCGGCCATTTGGATTGCAGACTCTGTGAAACTTCTGTTCAGGTCCTTTTCCCACCTCCTCAGTGGGCAGTTAGCTTTTCTCTTATTGTGAGCTTGCATGGTATTGTAGATTTTAGTAATAAGGCCTTTGTCTGATGTGTCATTGCTAAAGATGTTTTCCCAGTCGGTGGACTCTCTTATTACTCTCTTGGTGAATTCTTTTCGATGTACACAGGTGTCTTATCTTCAGTATGTCCCACATGTCTATTTGTGACTCCTCTGTTTGTATCCTTTCCTATTTCTGATAGCCTATGTATTCCCTGTGCCAAGGTTCTCAGGTTTGTCCCAATTCCCTCATAAAATGACTCTTTAAGGCAATAACCAACCATCATATTAAAACCAAACCCATTGCCATCAAATCAGTTCAGACTCATAGTGAGTAAGTAGAACTGTCCTGTAGGATACCCAAGGTTGTAATCTTTATGGAAGCTGACTGCCACATCTTTCATCCTCGGAGCACCTGGTGAGTTCAAACTTCCAACTGGATTAATATTAAAACCCCTGCCATCAAGTCAGTTAAAGATGGGCATTAATTTTGATACAGCTTACAGGTATTAATTTTGATGATCTGAGTTTTGGACTTGTCTTTGGAACACTTTTTTAAATGTCTTCAGTGTTGTCTGGTATTGCCAATTAGGCAGCTCTGCACTTAAGTCACAGGAGCCCCGGTGACTTGTAGTTAAGTGTTGGGCTGCTAACCATGAGACCAGCAGTTCAAAACCATCCGCAGCTCCTCGGAAGAAAGAGGAGGCTTTTTTCTTCCATAGAGCGTTAGTCGTGGAAACCCACAGGGGCAGTTCTACTCTGTCCTATAGGGTCACTGTGAGTCAGCAATGAGTTTGGGGTCTTTTTTTTTTGAGCGGGAGGTGGGGTGGGGGCGCGGGAGGCAGGGGGACATGCATTTAATTTAAGAAGTTTTAACTATAAAGATGGAGGCATTTCAAACCCACTAGCTCCTTCTGGTCCAATGTAAATGAAAAGTTATTATTTCTAATAATAATATATATTCTTTCACGGCAGTATAGACATTAAACTCCAAGGAAGAGGTAGTAGAGGATCATGAAAACCACGCTTTAAAAAAAATGCAAATCCTTATCTTGTCTAATTTTAGGATTTTCCTCAATTGGTGGCTTACATTAGAAAAGGCTAGCTGCTAATAAAAAAACTCTGTCCACATTTTAATTCCTTGAGATGTCTTCTTCCCAGAAGAGGAATGTGTTCTTGTGTCCGGCTTTTATAAGTGGAGGGGCTGCATAAATTCCTCTGTGTTCCCTCTTTCTTCATCACCCTATAGTCACGCCCAACCACATGGAAACCTCACAGATTCTTGCTGCCATCTTTCTGTGACTGAGGTCACAGAAATTTAAAAACAAAAACCTCCCCTTTCCGTGCACCAGCGCCTGCTGAGTGTGCAGCCCAGAGCACCCTGGGGAGTGCTCTCTCCGTGTGGCCAGCATAGCCACAGCCGGGAAGCAGGCTTCCTGCATGGAAGACCAGAGGTTCAGGACCCGCACTGTTGCTCGTTCCACAAGCATTGGAGAAGCCTCACAGCCCGTCTTTCCCCTCAGCCGTTGACGTTACCCTGCTGTCATCCAGAATAACGAAGACCCTTGAATCCGGGTGGTGGCCATCCATCCTTTTCCAGCGGTGCCATTTTTATTCAGGGTGATTTACCAACAACATGAACGGAAAACCAAAGCCATCCTCTAAGAGCAAGTCACTCTCAGAATGCCTCTCTGCCGTTAGTTTTACACACCCTTACATTTTCCTGCTGTATGATATTTTATTAAGTTTATCTGATATGTTCATTATACAACACAAATGAATCTGTTCTTGATACAAAAAGCATCAGTATTCGAACATGTATGAGGTATTGTCCCCTTGAATGTGGTACTGTCCCATCTAGTGCTGTCCATCATCTCGCTCTGGGGTGCCTCTGCCTGCGCTGCCCAGTCCGGTAGCCAGTAGCCATGTGTGGCCACTGAGTGTTTGAAATGTGGCTGTGGAATGGAATGTTTTAAGATTTCCGTTTGCTACATATGGAAAAGCTACAGCTAGCTGTTGATCGTTGTATAGGACAGCACACTTCCACCCTGACACTCTTTATAGAGCGCCACCTGGTTTGTGTCTTTTCAGACTTTCCCTGCACGTTGCATGCAGATAGTGTACAGGAAATGAACATTCTTGTTTCATGGGACTTTCTTTAAATAGAGATTTGTTCTATGTGTATTATTATATCTTCTTGGTTTTTTTCTAAAGCATATTACAACACAACACTGAATTGAAAACTAACACTGTGTCATACTTTTCATTTTAATGTAATACTCCTTTTTTTTGGCTTTGTGATAAGGTGAAGGTTACAGAGCAGATTACGAGTTTTACATTCAACAACTTTGTACACATTTTGTTTCAGCTCATCCATTTCAGTCCCCTCGGGGCTTTAATCTTCTTTTGATTTAGCCCTGTTCTGCCTCCTTTCCTTATACTTTTGTTCTGTGATCAGCAGCTTACCCTTTAATCTTTTATTTCCAAGTATTATTATGCTTGTTTCTTTGGTAACTTAAAAGATTAGATGTGATGCTTTCCAGTTTTCCAGAAGAAAACGAAAACAAGCATTCAATCTCACTCTGTAGGTCAAGCTGTTACTCTAATCAGTGTAATAATATCAAAGAATGCTACTGAATTGGTGAGCATGCACTCACTATTCCGAAGTCTTCGTTAAATACGGACGGTAACAAGAACCCTCCCCACCCACCTCCACAAACTCTTTAAGCGTATGCTACAGAGTAGTACCGTCTTTTCTTCTTTGTTCTTGTCTCTCTGCTTTTAGGGTGCCTTTGTGATAACACAAGCGGAGATTTCCCACCTATTTTCTTCTTTCCAAGTTTTACTTAAACATCCTGTTTCTTTGTAGGAGATATGGTTACCTGGCTTAAAAAAGAAATTGCCCTCTGCCATGTGACCAATTGTTCCAAGAGGAATGAAGCAGATGTGCACACAAAGACATATATACCGTGCCCTTAGCTGCTTTATTTATAGTAGCCCCAAACTGAGATCAACTCAAATGCCCATCAATGGGTGAATGGGAGAAAAAGAAGAATGTGGTTTAGCCATAGATAGGAAGACTGAACTACTAACACAGAACAACATCGATGCAGCTGAAAGAGCCCCGTGAAGGGAAAGAAGCCTGACAAGAAAGTGCATGCTGGATGTTTGTATTCATGGAAGGCCCTGGAGCTACAGCCCGCAGTGGCAGAGTTGATCAGTGGTTGTGTCGATGGCAAAGACATAGACAGATTATAAAGTGTCACAGAACTTTGGGGTAGTGAATATATTCATTATCTAAATTGTGTCTTTTTAAAATTTAATTCATTCAGAACTCATTAAGCTGTGTATTTTAAAGATGTGTTGCTTCTTAGACATCAATTACACCTCAATAAAAATATTTTTTAAAACATGAATAAGTGCAGACACAAACCACAGAGGGATTAACAGTGCCTTTGGTTGTGCCCCTAGTGGAAACCAGATGTTCTCATTCTGATCTCTGCCTGCATTTCAGAATAATGTGAACGCGCAGTTTCAAAATTGCTCTGTTATTAGACTCATTGCTGTAGCTCTTACTATAAATGTGTGAATAATGACGTTCTTGTATATTCTTTCAAATATGTGATAATGTCCATACATTGTTTTCTTTGAAGAAAAGTAAAACAAATGCCCTGGAAATGGATTTTCTAAAACCCAGTCTCTGAAACACCTTTCCATACTTCAGTTTCTTTGTCTTCATTAAAAATGTCACAATTGCCTACATATTTGGAGCACAGAATCTAGTGATGTTTTGTAATAATTCTACATTGATAATTGCAAACATTAAAAAAACTGTTCTCATGAACAATTAGGAGGTCAAGTTTAATTACAGATCACTTGAGAATTGAGGATATGATATTGAGCTAAACCATCATAACCTCTTTTGTCACAGGTTGTAGAAATGTACTCTAGTGGAGGAGACCTTCACCTTGAACTTCCAACAGGTCAGCAAGGAGGTACCAGAAAACTATGGGTGAGTGTAATCAGAGCTCTCCCTCCTCTGTTGTTAGTGTGAGACTAATTACTTACTTAAATGCACTAAGAAGTAATCTCCTAGAGACAGTTAATTATTATCTTAATGTTAAATTATATTAACTGGTTTGAAAAGTTGAATGAGAGCGTTAATGTGTTTTAAGCTAAGACTGTTTAACTGTTAAAAAGATCTATTATCATTTTAAAGGTAGAGACCTGAAAGTTAAGATTCATTGTTCATAAACTTGGTGGTATTTGCAGAGCATGTATAATGACTTAGGAAAATTTAAATTCTGTGGTGATCTGCATATGAGTAAAATACCTAGCTTAAACACTGTTGAATATTTAAGAACCTTCTGTATCTGTGATTAGAGAAAAATTTTCTCTTGTAGAATACTAGCAAATATTTACCAGATTATTGTGTGTCTAACAACTACCTTGTTTAAAGATCCCTGTCATCATAGACGGTTTTTTGTTGGTGGTTTTTTTTAATGCTGTCCGTCCTGCTTAAATCAGAGGGGCAGGCAGTTGTGATAAATGCCAGTCTTGAACAAAGATCCCTCAGATCACTACTTGTCCACGAGTGGGGCCACAAACACTAGTTTTAATGCTGTGAACAAGCTGTGATGATGAATTCCTTTCTTGACTGCTCTGATACACACATGCACACACTGACCAGTCTCAGTGTAGGTAAAGAGTATGTGTGCATCACCTACCTAGGATGTTGGCTTGAACTTTTAGAAACAAATTTGTTCTTTTTTTTTTTTTGGTTAATTTCCAAGGTCCCAAAAAATATATCAGCAGGTTGAAATATATGTTGGGTATCCATTTACATCCTTTCATAGATACATGTTTTGTTTCGTTTTTAACCCATGAACCTATTTTCTTGTTGAAAAAGCTTTTGGAAGAAATAATATATAAAACAATGTTTCCATGGATTGAACGTAAGCTATTATTAATTTGTATTAAAGTTCTAGGTAAGAGCTAAGAATTTGCTATGAAATATAATTGATAATAAATAAGCATACTATGTTTATTTAAGAAGAATTCAAACTTCTAGACAATGAAGAGCCATGATGAGTGGTAGCAGAGAGCGGCATATATTAGCCTTGAGTGTCTGTTGATGGGGATGGAAAATATGACAGCCATGTGGATGAGGGTTGTACATTTGATGTCATTGCTTTCATTGAACTATACAGCAGAGAATATTGAGTTGAAAGATGTTTGTCCTCTATCTTCACAAGACGTTTGCAACCATTGAATCTTCATTTTTTACTGGGATTTTATGTGAAACCGAAGCAGACTCTGTGTCCATTTAGTTATCACTTAGATTCCTGTGGGAAGCTGGAAGCATTTTCCTCTGATGGTGACATTTCTCTACGTTAGGGAATTTGAGAGCTGAATTATATACCCTAACATTAACGCATCACATCATTGATTTTGTAGGTTGATCCTATGCTTTAATGGTGATTTTTACCACAGAAAGTTGTGTTTATATAACTTGATTACTTTGTTCACCATTTCTATGAGTAATGGTTTTCAGATTTTTACATTGACTAAAATTGGAGTGTATGTTACAATGAGTGGAAGCTACCCGTTTAATTGGTGGGTTAGAGAAACAAAACCAGGACACTTACAATTATAGAGATATAAGAGGATAGGTTTATACAGCAAGAAGAAATATAACAGCTAATTAGTCCACACAGCAGTACAGAGGGCTCAGTTCAACTCACTTTCGTGCAACAGTTAATATACTGGAAGCCTTTCAACCCACACTTGGGCTACCCGGTCCAAGGTCAAGGAAGCAGACAGCGGAGTCTTCCCTCAGGCAAGGCAGGAAGAGTCTGCCTGCAGGCAGCAGGCAGCAGGCAGCAAGGTGTGTCAGCAACAGTCAGTAGTAGCGCAGGATCTTAGTGAAGCAGACCCTGATGGGGGTCTCAAACTCAAGCACAGTGACAGGGTCCACCAGCCTCAAACTCAAGCAATGTATGCACCAGCAGCATAACACAGTAGGTCTCGAATGCGCCTCAAGCTCTAACAACGCGATTCACAGGTTACCTTGGCCCACAGGTAGTGTAGCACACAGGTTGAGGCAGAGAACTAGCTGAAACAGCAGCATGCTGGTCGGATCACCGGGGAGCAAGAGAGAGGGCCATTTATCAATCAAGCTGTGGCCTGATTAAACTCCGCCCACATGTTCCTATTGGCCTAGTTGGCTCAATAAACCTATCTATCACAATTGGCGATTGTATTCTACTTAGTAGACTCATGCAATAATATTGTGTGCACCAGTCCATGTGATCTTACTCAATAAAATGTGGTTTTTTGCAACATTTCAAAAACTGTACTTATTATCAGGAAATTCCACCTTATGAAACCAAAGGAGTGATGCGAGCCAGTTTTTCATCTAGAGAAGCAGATAATCACACAGCCTTCATAAGAATAAAGACGAATGCTTCCGACAACGCGGACTTCATCATCCTGCCCGTGGAGGTGGAAGTGACGACAGGTTAGTGGGCACTGGAGACCTTGCAGAGGGTTCTTCTACTTTGTTGGCAAAGTAAAATATAAATGTTTACTTTTCTTCTTTTCCAGCTCCTGGAATCTATTCTTCAACCGAAATGTTAGATTTTGGTACACTACGAACACAAGGTAAAAGAAGAAGAAGAAATCTTTTAGGATTTTTTACCGCCTGGCCCCCCGCCCCAAAGAAATCCTTGATTTGGTGCTGAATGGTTGTAGTTTTGCTCTTTCGTGATTCACTTTTAGAAGTTATTTCTCTGTGGATTTCAAAAGCTTATGGGACTTTACTTTTGAAGACTCGGACCTGTGCCAGGTGTACACCATCCTTCTAGGAGGAACTGTAGCTGCGTGTCACTAGGTGTCACTGAGCCGATGCTGGCCGAGAGGACGTTGCCTGCAGGGTAGGCCCGGGCTCCATTGGATTGTCAAGCTGTGTCCTTTCACAAAGAGGTGGCCAGGCTGGTTCCTAAGGTCCCTCCAAGTGCATTTAAACTGCGAACCTACTGGCTAGTGGTCAAGTGCTTAACCATGTGTACTACCAACACGGACTCCTTGCATACAAGGCGGGAAAATAAGGTCATGGGATAATTTAAGTGAAGTGTCCCAAATGGAAGATTAAGGTAGATTAAGTTTCCAAGTTTCTTAATTCCCCTCTGAATTCAGCAATTCAGTTATGCTGAATCTCTTTTAAATAGTGAAAAAGAAAAGAAAGAAAATCAAAAGATATACTTACTGACAGCTTTTTATTTAGAAACGGACTATTGCATTATGATGACATGATGGTTAAAATTGGACCCTGCTTGTCAAAGGAAACGTTTATTAATTGTACAAGAGAAGTAACCTTTCCTGAAGGCATGCCTGAAATTTGTTAAAGAGTACTTGAAAATGAGGTCTCTGTGGGCCATCTGTAATTATACTTTGGTTATTTAGGACTGAAGACCACTTTTATTTTTTTAGATTTGCATTTAAGGTAACAGTTCTATATTGTACATTAATGTGCTTTGCTTTGCTGGAAGATTTAAAGATTAAGAATAATTTCTGCTTTCACTAAAAGACTTGAGGACTTGGAATTTTTTGCTTATTTTTATCTGGGAAGGGACTTCTAATACGCAGTGCCCTTATGAGTCATGATCCCTAATATTTATTTTTTAAAGCGATTGTCATTTTGTTTCACATTCTAAAATACACTTGATATTTAATAATGTAGGGATTTTAATTTGCTATACCTAACACCTTTTTAAGGAATATTTCTTTTCCTCCATTTTGACAGATCTGCCAAAAGTTTTAAATCTTCATTTATTAAATTCAGGAACAAAAGATGTACCAATAACTGTAAGTTTTGCTTGTTTGTTGCTTATTTTTATGTCTTTGATTTGTGACCAAGATGATAAGACTCTTTTCATTTGTGGAGTCTGGTGAGACTTTGGTCAATACTCGACTTGAGACTCCTGTTCTGCCTCTTCCCAGATTCTCAGATGTTAAGAAGGAAAGTAGCCAGTCCTCTCCAGTTCAAGCTAGCCCCAGTTTCTGAGGGTCCTGTTTGAGCAAACTCACACGAGAACCTCTTGGGTTGGTGGGTTCTGATAAGGCCTGGGACCTCTGCTTCTTATGGAAGGAAAAGATGCTTCCGTTGAGTATCATTGTTAGCCTAAAGGCCTGGTTAAGGTAATTGAATGGGGAAAGTGAGTCAGATGTAGTGAGAAGAGAAATAACGGAGCTGAAAAATGTAAGAGAGAATGTAGACATTGTTAACATTTGACACAGGCACCTTTTCTAACTGGCAGCTCCTATAACCAACCTAGAGACCTCTCCTCCCCCCACACATACACAGAACAAATGGTTTTTATGGCTCTTAAGTAGGCTTGGGGTGCCATTAACTGTTTTTAGACCGAAAAATAAAAGCCCAAATTTTGTCTTGCCCAGAAGCCTCTCCTCTTGAGCCCCCACCCCACCCCACCCCAAGCCAACTATACAGGTGATAAAGTAAAAGGAAAGCAGCACATTTTTTATTGTAATGTGGCACTGATTGGTTTGTGTTTGTGCTGCCAATTTAAATGCAAGGAACTTTGATAAAATGAGCATAAGGCACTGTAATCCTCCCAAGGCCAAACCCAGATTTGACCACTAGCTAATAGAGTGCACGTTAAAGAAAGGAATACACCCAGGAAGCTGCAGACGGTCCTCCCACGTTTTAATGCACACTGGCATTGCTCACTAGAAGTGGCATGCTCCAGGCAGTGTCGTGATACCTGGCCTGTTCTTTCTTGGAATTAGATTGAAGAGTGAGGGGCAGGGATAGGGACTAGGGTCTGGGAGAGCTTGAAACTACCCAGAGGTCCTGCCACTGCAAGATCCCTGAATCTGCTGGGGGTCAGGCCACTCGAGAGGGCCTTCGGGAGCCCTGGAGCCCTCACCAAACACGATCAGTCCTGCTGTCACCACGTATGGTAGACAAGGTCTCGCCACCTTTGCTTTTGCTTCTAAGGAGTCTTCTGGCAAGCCATGGAATACTCTTCTTCACCAGCACCGTAATTCCATATCATCATCAGTTCTTCCTCAGTCTGCCTTATGCGTGGTCCAACTTTCACATGCATGGGAAGCAATGGAAAATGCCCCGGCTTGAGTAGAATTGCACCTTAGTGCTCAGAGTGACAACACTTTGAATATTTTGGTAGTTGTGTCCTGGTTCCTCATCCATTCATGCATGAATCTGATAAATATTTCATGGGAATCAACATAATGCCGGCCACTAAGTGCTAGGAGCACCACAGTGAATCAGACCCGTCCGGCCCAGATGATGGTACTCAAGCTCGTCAGGGGGCCAGCCAGCAAACAAGCACTCAACGTGCTGTAGACAGACACAAATTCTGTGAAAGAAAATAGCAGAATGGCACATGATGTTGGGGGCGGGGTAGCGAGGTGGTTTGGAAGTGGTGGTCTCAGCGGAGCTGCCATGTAAGGTAAAACCTGATGGGTAAGAAATAGATTGGGGAGGAGTGTACCTGGCACAAGAAATAGCAAGTGCCAATGTCTAAAACAGGAAGGTCAAGGGAGATGACAGGAAGTGAATGTAAAAGATGAGGCTAAAGGCCAAGCAGGGCTTCCTGGGCCTGTGGGGGGTGTTTAGATTTTTGTCTAAGTGGTTTGAGGCACTATTACTGGGTTTTAAGCAAGGGCATGACACCATGTGGTTTATGTTTTATTAAAGATCACTGTAGCTACTTTGTGGAGCATGAACTACAGAGGGAAAGGGCAGAAAACAAGGTGGCCAGTTTCAAATCTTTGCAGGGGTCCACTTGAGAGTGACGGTAGTTTTAGATTGCTCACCTTATCAGCCAAGCAGGGTGTGAGCCCATCTGTTATGAAACTAGTTTTTGAAAGAACATCGTAAGATTTTTCCCGTTTCAGTATTTTCTATGTAATGTATCAAACTTAGAGACGGTTGCATTTTCATAAGTCTGCATTTCACAAATATATAAAATTTCTAGAATCTGCCAGGCAGTGCTGGGTATATAAGGTCTGCTAGCACAAGCAATTCCAGGTGTGAGTCCCTCACCCGTGAAAAGACGGATGCCCAGGTCTAAGTCCTCGTGACATGTGCATGATGTGATTTTGAGGAAACGGTTCTCCTCAGTATTACAGATGTTGTCTTTAGTTGCTGGTGAGCCCATTCTGACTGATGGCTGTTTCTTCCCCACTGCGCTGGGTCAGTGGACACCGCTAAGCTGGAGGCTGGCAACCAGGTGCACACCACTTGTGCCGCCTAGGGACTGTTTATAAAACAGTAATGCTGTAAAAATGAAATAAGTTTGTCTAAGATGTTTTTAAGAGGAACATGAACGTGAAATATCCTTGATACTTATATTGAGTAAGAATTATAAACTTGTCACAAATGCACTTCTTAATTTTACCAGTATGAACTTGATGTGTACTTTAGTGACTTTGCCTAGAAATTGTATTGTTATAGACCGAAAGGTTGTTTTTCTTGTTTGCGCAGGTACTTTTGTAGGTAGTTTGAGCATATCCTGGAGCCCTGCGTCTCACTGAGAGTTCCTGGAGCTTCAGTTGGGTCTGGAGGGCGTGAGAAATGGCTGGAACTTTATGTAGAATGTATAAAAGCTGCCTTTCCTGGGAAACTCGGCATGCTTTGTTTCAACTGTTGGATATCTTTGAAAAATCAACAGCTAGTGACTAGTATAAAAATAGGTTATTAGTGTAAATCTGCTTATATTTAAATCATAGTTAATTTTTACTTTTAAAGCCACTATAATTAGCCATTTATATAAGTATTTTGGTTTTATTTCCTTGGAAAAGGGTTTCCAACTGAGGTATGATTTTATTGTTTGTTGGCTAAATAACTCAGATAATTATTATAAAACATGAGTCACCAAGTAAATATTTAGTATAAAATAATTTTAATATAATATTACTAAATTTAACTTTTTCTGGTAAGGAATTTCTTAATTTAAACAATATGTTTCATGTAAAAGAAACTTTTGTCTGGTGTTTGATTTTTTTTTTTAATATAGTATTTTTGGTGAAAGTTTACACAGCAAATTAGTTTCCACTTAGCCATTTGTGTACATAGTTTCGTGGCATTGATCACACTTTTCCCATGTCAGCGTCTAATTGTTTCCATCCTGACTGTTCCGTCCTAGTGCTAGCCTCTCAGAGGCCCCTCCTTACTTCTGATCTTTGTTTCAGGGTCACTGTTGATCAGTGGGTCTCCTAGAGACGGTTAGTTAAAGGAGCGGAGCACTCATGGGCTTATTTTGTGAGCCAATCTCCTATTTGGCTAGAAGGTGACCTCCAGGCATGACTTCACTGTCAGAGGGGTGCTAAGGACAATAATCTTGGGGACCCTAGTCTCTGCCAGTCTAGTCCTTGGCCCTGTGTAGGCGCTGGAGGCTCGCTCTCCGTTCCCCTCCCATGTTGTTCAGCACTGTCTGTGGAGGCCGTGGGCGGTGGTAGTCAGCCAGTCCTTACCTTAGGCCACAGAAGGCTGTGTGTGGCCTGCCTAATGAGTTTCATGGACACGAAAGATGTTCTTTTCTGCAGAGTACTGCAAGCATCGACAGCAGACTCATCTAGTCCCCAGAAATTCATCAAACACCCCAGGAGAGTTTTGAGAGTCAGAGTAGAAACAATATTTTTTATCCAAATCTTGTGAGGTAAGAAGCCAAGTGCAGGACTATGAGCCAAGTCAGGAAACTCAGTTTCCAGTCGCGCCTCATGCTGCCTCGGTGTTAGAACATCACTCAGTGTGTAAGATTCTCTCCTTCATCTGGGAAACATGGATTGGGGGTTAGGATAGTTTAAATTCCTCCCAATTTAAAAGTAATTTGTGTCTGTGAGGATCACCAATAAAAACTAACTCTACCTTAAAACAGTCATGGTTTTTTTCCCCCCCAGTTTGCTCTAGAAGTATAAGTTTTTACTCTTTTTGGTTATTTCAGGTTTTGTTGTTTAATAGGAAAATATGCTTTTTAAAATTTCAAAGATTCTGATCCTTTTCAAGTGGACTATTCCTAAAGTCTTCCTTAAGGAGCCCTGTTAGCATGATAGGATAAGGCCACAAAGTTGGTGGTTCAAACCCACCAACTGCTCTGTGACTGTTTGCTCCTGTAAAGATTTAGAGCCTTGGAAACATCTGGCTCAGTGGCAATGAATTTGGGGTAGCTTTCTTCCTGCTCAGCCTCAGAGTTAATATTGCAGCCCTGCCTCTTGTCAGCAGCATGACTTGCCCAGCCAACCAAGCCAGAGAGAGAAGAAAATACTACTGGAGATGGAATCTGCAAAACCCCCTTGATAGAGGGACACCCGCGCCCAAATGCACGTTCATTCTTCATCTTTATTAACCAAAGTGTTAGGAGTACTCCTATCATAAAGCTTTGGGTTGCCTTCTCTCCTGTATGAATCAGGTATTCGTTAGAAAAATAAACAGCATTTTAAATGTTGTATGTAGTCATATGCAGTATCCCAGTTTGTAGACTTGTGCACTCATTAATTGTTATACTTTTTACGGTTTGGTCATTTTATTTTATACAGATTTTCTAATTAAATTATCTGAAATTTTCTCAGTACTTCATTTTAAAGGGACCTCTTTAAAAGTTTTCATTGTAGTTTACTTTTCCTACTGTTTTCCAATATCTTGCAAGGATACCATTTGACTAAAATAGTATGTTGGGGTTTTTTTTGTTTTTCTCTCTGCAGAGTGTTCGACCTACACCACAAAATGATGCTATAACGGTACATTTTAAACCAATTACATTAAAAGCTTCAGAGAGTAAATACACTAAGGTTGCAAGTATTAGTTTTGATGGTAAGTATCCACCTTTTCTTCTCTAACAATGCTCTCATTCTGATGAACTAAAAGCACATCTATGTTGACTTCTTAGTATTAATAGAAATTCAGACTACTAATGGCTCTATTAGATATTACTGCCTTGGTCTACTTATGGCTAGATAACTTACTGTTCCCTTTGTCTTTCCTGTAAGTCACAATGTATAATTTTTTCGTTCGTCTAAGAAAATACTTTCATATTGCTAAATTATTACTAGCAACAGATAAATATTGGCAAATACTTTAGGACTGGAGTTCTATTTCTATAATCTGGGCTAACCATCCCCATATATCTGTGATATGCTTTCTGTTAAGTATAAAGTCATTGCATTTTGTAATAGGTGATAATGTATTTGAATAAGCCGACCCAACTATAAGCCAAGGCGCCTAATTTTACCACAAAAACTGCATTAAAAATGTGCTGGAAAAACTCGGCGTATACACCAGTATATACAGTACGTTTGAAAGTAAGTTTGAAATAAAGTAGCATTTCATTTATTGGTTTTTAAGGTAAGGCAGACGTCCCCTCTTTAGCTAAAATAATAGCCTTTATAATAGGCTTGTCAAAGTGACTCACTTTTCTTTCAGACCTATGTGTTTGAAATGTTACCTTACCCTAGCCTCTGAGAATCTTTTCATGACTTTTTATTTTCACCCATTTTGGTAGAAAACCTAGTGAAGCTGATTTAGTAACTGCTTGACCATATATTTAATAAAAATGGAAACTTTGAACAGGGCTTTACTCATAGGGAGGAGCCCTGGTGGTGTATTGGTTAAGCCCTGGGCTACTAACCATTAGGTCATCAGTTTGAAACCACTAGCCACTCCAAGGGGTACAAAGGGGGCATTCTACTCCCGTAAAGGGTGATAGTCTTAGAAACGCACAGGGACAGTTCTACTCTGGCTTACATGGTGGCCGTGAGCTGACACAGACGCGGTGGCAGGAGAGTCGCTCCTAGAAGCCCATGCAAAAGTGAGGAGCCCTGAAGCTCACAGGTGGCTTTCTGTGGCTGCCGCTCTGCTCCCGGTGCAGCCGAGTCAATGTTGGAATCGTGTTTGCTAGAGTAGAGTAGATTAAGGCCCCTGAGTGGTGCAGACAGATTGTTCTGGTCTTATCCAAAGGTTGGTGGTTCAGACTCAGCCAGTGGCTCCGTAAAAGAAGAGTCTGGAGCCCTGCTTCCAGAAAGACTACTGCAGGTCTGCTCTTTTACATGTGGGGTCACGATGAATTTGGACTGGACTCAGTGGCAACAGATGTGGTTTGGGTTTGGTGATAGTTTACTGATAAACTTGGGCAGTATTTGTGAGTAGTTTTGCACAAGGAGAGTTCTGCACAGGCTGGGTACAGCCATGTGAATTCATTCCCATACGCGCAGTGAAAACTCCCAAGGAAATGAAATTTAACTATGGGGCATGCTTTCATAATACAAGTTTATAGAAATAGCCAGTATTATAGAAAGCGTTGATGCCACGATTATTCCAACTTTGAGATACGTTGTCTTCCACATAATTAAGACACCACATTTCTGACCACCAGTTTTGGCAGCAGCACCTGAATTCTCTTCTCTTACCAAGAAAGAGAGTAGCCGGTACAATGTCAGGAGAGCCTAAGGACCCACTCTTCTGTTGCTCCCAAAGAAGGGGTGCACAATGGGGCAGTTCATCTTCTCCAGACCCTTTGTCCACAGTGCGTTGCCATTGTTGAGAAAATGCAGTATCATCACTGCTGATTCCGCTGAGATTATTTTAAAATAGTCGTTCCTTACAGAGGTTGTGTAGAATTAAACTGAAAAAACGAATTCACCCTTAGAGCCAATACTACGTTCGTGTGACTTTTATTATCATGGAACTTTTTTATTATCATGGAACTACCATTCCCATTGCGGTCACCCTCAGCATCCTAGATGCCGATGCAAAGTACCTCTGAGATTGCAGTGAAAATCAGGAAATGGTTAAATTTTTCATAATTTGAAATGTGCCTTAGACATACTTTACTGTGTTCACTTACCACGCAAACATTTTTTCCTCAAAAGTCACTGTCCTGAATGATTTTTTTAAAGTGATTTTTTGACTGCTTCATTTGCTGAAACACAGCTTTATAAAGGAGCATGAAATGCCTAAATATTCAGGCTCTTGTGATCTTCATTATAGGGGAACAATGGTAAAGGTGTCCAGAAATGGCTAAGTAGCAAGTACAAAGAAGGACGAGTCTTAGTAGGAGTTTCAGAAATCTAAAGTCACCATCTGTATGTACATAGCCCTGGGCGAAATGTCTTAATGTTTCTTTATTGTTCCATTTTTGTACTAAAGTTATATAGCACATTACTGTCATCAATAAAGGTATGATGTAAGTACCTTAAAGGGGCCATGTACTTTATTCTTTTTGAAAGGAAACATCTGATGGGTGTCCATGTCCAAATGAATAATTTCTGATATTCCAGATGGAATATTCAGGTCTGCTACGTAACACACAGGTTTTTATCTGTGAGGAAGAGATTTGTTTCTTATGCCATGAGTTAGGGTTGGCTGAAACAATTCAGAGCTCTTGATTTTTCATATACCATGCTACTTTATGAATATCTGTTAGCAAGTCTCTGGACATATAAAGAATATAATTTTCCCCCGCAAATAGCTGTAAACCAGTGTTTCTTAAGGAGGTGCGGTTTTGTCCCCTGGAGAAGATGTGTTTGGTTGTCACAGCCCAGAGGTCTCTCTGTGTACTGAGTAGAGACCAGGGACACTGCTAAATATCATACAGTCCACTGGTCACCCACACAGCAAAGATTTATCCAGACACAGATGTCCACCGTGCCATCTCTTTGATGCTGACTCCTAGTGACCCCGTAGGGCTGAGTAGAACTACCCCACAGGTTTGCCAAGGCTGTAGATCTTTTACAGAAGTATCTTTTCCCTCAGAGCAGCTGGTGGATTTGAGCCAAAATTATCAGCCTAGTGCTTAACCCCTTGGCCTTGAACTCCTGTGGTTAAGCACTAAACCTGGCTTACCCAAGGCTCCTCACAAATAAAGTCAAATTTTGTGGTTACAGAGAAGTAGTTAGGAAAGCTATTTATTTGTTTCTTTTTCTTCAACCACATTCAGTGGCTGGTTTGTCTGTTTATCCCATTACAAAGGAATTGCAATATTTTTCTTTTTCAGATAACAAATGTGATTTTAAAATGTTAGGAGGCAGTTGAGTTGACTTAAAGTGTTACAAAACTACTGTTTTCACCAACGTGACGAGAAACTTTAAAAACATTGTCAGGTCCTAGACAAGGGCGCACTCTCCCTTTGGTTGCAAAAAGTGACAGCATTTTTGTGCTTCTTTTCAGCATCAAAGGCCAGAAAAACATCGCAGTTTTCTGGGAAAATAACTGTGAAAGCAAAGGAAAAGAGTTATTCCAAACTTGAGATACCGTATCAGGCGGAAGTTTTAGATGGGTAAGCATCCTTAAATAAGCCATATGCCTTCTGTCGGTACATTCTCTCTTCCTAGTCAAAGGGGATGACGAAAATCATAGTCAAGTTTACATAAACTCAAGGAACATGTGGTTGACAAGAACCATGTTCAAAGTGCTTATAACTGCTGAGAAGAGAAGAGTAAGTGTTAGGTGACTGTCTTCAATGAAGTCTTGATCAGCGATGGGCTATGAAAATGAATGGTGTTGTAGAGGATGCGGTAGCCATTTGCACCTTTCTCTTTCACTCCTTTTGTGATGTGCGAGTGGTTGTAGCTTGGTATAGTTTGTCACTTGAAACAGTAGTTTGTATTCCTTTATAACTTAAAAATACTGTTCCAGAATTATAAATTTTTGAAGAAGAAACTAGTGACTTTTAAAACAGACTTTTAAAATAGTTCATTTTCTAGTTGTAGTTCAGCCAGTAAGGGTTGAGTCTCAAATTTGAAAAGAGAGTTCACTTAACAAATTTAATTGCAATTGAATGATAAAATAGAATTTTTAGAAGAATAATTTCAAGCTTTTGCTATTACTGCATCTTTTCTCTTGTTTATTTACATATAATTTGTAGAAAACAGTTCTTTATGTGACATTTTAATATTTACAAGTTAAATTTTTGTTTAAAATTATGTGATCATTCACTAAAATATTGCTGTTCTAATTCTTTAATACAGCCCTTTATGCTAAGTGAAATTATTGCGAAGACTTTCCATCTTAAACTAACACATGGCAATAAAAGTGATTTATTTTGTTTTTGTTTTTTTCAAATAGTTATTTGGGATTTGATCATGCGGCAACATTATTTCACATCCGAGACAGTCCTGCTGATCCTGTGGAAAGGCCAATTTATCTTACTAACACTTTCAGTTTTGCGATCCTCATTCATGATGTTTTACTACCAGAAGAAGCCAAAACCATGTTTAAAGTATGTCTGAGAGTACTCATACCTTTAACTTTGTTGATAAATAAGTTAGACGATAGTGACGCATTGTTGGTCTCTCTCCCTTTGTTTCCTAGGTTCACAACTTCAGCAAGCCCGTCTTAATTCTTCCAAATGAGGCAGGCTACATTTTCACCCTGTTTTTTATGCCGTCTACATCATCCATGCACATAGATAACAATATTTTACTGATTACCAATGCATCTAAATTTCACTTACCTGTGCGGGTGTACACAGGCTTTTTAGATGTAAGTACCTTTGGCCTTTAAACTCCCTGTCATGTTTTGTGTTTAATTAGACCGTGTGTTGCGCAAGTGCTACATTTCTCCATTTTCTCTCCAGATAGCGAAACCGCTTATCGCTGAGTGTGAAAACCAGTTTTCCCCCTTGTCGGTGGCCGCTTTCCCTCACAATATAGTTGAATCCTCTAGCGAGTCTCCACTTAGGCCTTTTCCACATTCTGCCCTCTCGTGATGGAGACGTTAAAGAGGAGCTCAATGGAAGAGAAATCATGGTCGGGAGAAGATATAGGACAAGGGAGGGAGGCGGGACCCTGTGCAGGAAGAGAGGACCAGAAGTCAGAATCTCTGGGGATCTCAGAGAAGGACAGCCTCGGTGCCACCCCGCTCCTTCCTCGTTCACCCTGCTGCAGTGCTCATGGGTTGGCGATACGCCTCACCCTCGGAGGCACCGCGTAGCCTCTCGAGACTACAGCTTCTTGTTGTTTCTATGTGCCTTCTGTGAAAGGATACATTTCCATAGAGGCCGTGGGTGTTTTTATTTGTGAATACCCCAAATATTTGCATCACACAAAATCCTCAGTTACGCTGGCGTATGTGCATAGATCCACATTTCACACATGTAGAAAATATAAAACCCTTAATATAGCTTAATATAATCTGGTTTCTTTCTCTTGGATGATATTCTGTTAGCTATCTTAGTTTTACATATTTTTTGTGTCTGTGAATTTATATTGAGTTTTGTTCTTTTATATCTTTCCAGTACTTTGTATTGCCACCCAAAATAGAGGAACGTTTCATAGATTTTGGCGTACTGAGCGCTACGGAAGCAAGTAGCATTTTATTTGCAATTATAAACAGCAATCCAATTGAGGTAAAAAGCCAAAAATCTGATCTTACTATAAATCATATTGAAGAATTTATATGCAATTGTTGTGATCATCATCTTTTATATCTTTCCTGTTTTAAGTTGGCTATAAAAAGTTGGCATATCATAGGAGACGGTTTATCAATAGAACTTGTAGCCACAGAAAGAGGCAATAGAACGACCATCATTTCAAGCCTTCCGGAGTTAGAAAAATCCTCATTATCAGACCAGTCATCTGTAAGTACATGCTCCTGTTCTATGATTCTGAATCCGTATTGCTAAATAAGAGCCCCATCATGAACTACATTAAAAGTATCTTCTCAGAACACAGGTGTCAGTGCAGAAGAAGTCCAGATAGGCACTACGGTTAAGCCCTGTGCATTAAACTTACTGGGCAAAGACAGCCCTGAACACTGGGAGAAAGTATTGTCAATCACACAGTAATGTTTTTGGCTGATTTTCTGTTGATTAGAAAAAAGTTTCTGTGAGGGAAACCTTGCTTGATCCCTTATGCCTCTGCCCACGTTCCTGTATGCTGTCATGTAGATAAAAAGGGGCTGTAAAATGTTCGTGGACAAAAGGAATTGAAAGACAGTGGGGTTTTCCCTAAACTCTGTGCACTTGACCATAGAAGAGCATTGTGCAAGAGGAAGCAATGGTGTCAGTCAAAGCCCCCACTGCTCCTAGAAAGGGAACCGAAGTGTATATCCAGCAAGAGTGAGTTCACAGAACCACCTCAGGATAATGATTACACGACGCTTACTGATAAGGTTACACTATTGAATCGTTGATATTGGGATTATGTCCCCATAAAACTGTTGATAAATAAATGCATTTCTTAAAGAGAGGAGGACTAGAAAGTGGATGGGGTGAGCGCTCCCAACCAAGTTCTCCTCGGACAGCCCTGCTGTCCTCACAAACTACACAGATGCCTGGTCACCGTGGAGAAATGCTCCTCCCAGTGCCGTTTTTGTCTTCTTAAAACTTCTTCCTGATACAGCCCTGTGACAGCCCTGTGTCCTGCAGAAACATCCACCAAGATTATTCCTTGGCGATCCCAAGAAATAGCGACCATACCCATCTGACTATGTGTTCTCTGCCTAAACTCATCTCTGAGTGCCTCTTGGCCGTCCTTAGAACATTTTATCTATCTAAGAAATGCTGCTTTGTGTGAGGCAGCATTGCTGTAAACTTGTTGCAAATATCAGTGATTTGGGAAAATGTCTTTGAATTTGGCTAAAAAATTTTATATTAGCTCTGATCTCATTTTTTCCATGGCATTTAAAAGAGCAAAATAAAACCTTCACGTTTTAAGGCGCTCTACACAACTGAGACAAATATATTGCCAAGAGAACTTGTCTGCAGCCATCCACTGATCCCAGAGACTTGATTACACCCGTTTTGTTGGAATAAGCCTGTACATGTACAAACTGGAATCCTAGCAGCTATACTTTTTTTACGTACCCTCATAAAACGAGCTACATGGTGGGGAGCTATACCAGTTGCAAAAGAACTATCCCACCAACCCTCCTTCACCCCTCCACTCCTCCACCCCTCCACCCCTCCACCAAGGCAGATGAGATTCTGCTGTACTTCGTAGAGCCAGTTTTCTTGATGGCCTCTGTAATCATTGTGGTAGACCAGCCTTACCTTGCGATATGTGTGTTCTAGTCCAGTCATTTAGTGTCGTATGGGAACTTTGTTGGAATTTGAAAGTCAATTTATCACTGTAGCTTTGATTGCCATTTTAATGTGAAACTGTAAAGAGCAAGGCTAATGAATGACATTATCTCTGCTATCTACAGGTCATATTAGCTTCAGGCTATTTTGCAGTATTCAGAGTCAAACTTACTGCAAAAAAACTGGAAGGCGTTCATGACGGAGCCATACAGATCACAACAGATTATGAGGTAAGGCTCCTCAGGGTACCTGTCACTCCCTGAATCAATCAGTCTTTTTCTTTTTCACAGAAACAGAGACTAAGCCTCTTGGTAAAGTTACAGTACTCCACTTTCATGCGATTGTCTGAAGTTTGATAGACTTTAAGATGACAGAATAGTTTACAGAAGGTGGCTATGTATTGGCACGTAGTTTTCTAATGAAGCACAAACCTCCTAAACGAATGCCTTTAGTGTAGTTAGAATCTGCGTGGGACTCCTGCACGGTGATGGCATCACGAGAACCTGGGGATAGGCTAGCTGTTTCTGCTGCTCTCTGCGATTCTGAATACTCACTCCTGTAACATTCCAGAAAGGAGGGTAAGACCAAAGAATCACGTCCTCAGATGAGTTCCCTTATGTATGTTCTCTGTGATGCATTCTAAACCGAAGAACACAACCAGATCATTGAACTTTAAAGACTCTTTCTGGAGTTTGAGGTATTCAGTAAGACTTTGAATGGCTATATTTCTGCCAAACCTAAATATTTTTAACTTGATATTTAAAAGCATGTGATAAGTTGAACAGTACTACCCATTTAATAATCAAAACTTATTGGGATAGGTCAAATTAGTTCCCTTCAAAAGTTAGGAATTAATTCATCTGATTACTCATCGAAAAAATAAATTTCAGAATCCCATGTACAAGGGTGTACCCCAAAAAACAGAATTGTTTTCCAAAGCTATATATTTAAATTTTTTTACAAAACAACCCTATCACCTTCAAACTTCTCTTCTTAATACATTTGTCAAATCTGCGATTCCATTCTTGGAAACATTTTTCAAACTCATCTGTTTGGATGGCTGACAGCACCTCCCTTGTGTTTTTCTTCACCTCTTCTGTGTCCTCAAATCACTGTCCTTTCATGTCCCTCTGCATTCATGAAAGCAAAAGGAAGTCACGTGGAGCAAGGTCACATGAGTAAGGTGCGTGAGGCAAGAGAGACATGCTGTTTTTTGGGCAAAAACTGGTGCACTGAGATGGCGGCCTGAGCAGGTGCATTGTTGTGGTGGCAAAACCAATCCCCTGACTACCACAGATCAGGTTTTTTTGTCACACACTGATACGCAATCTTTTCAGAACCTCCAAATAGCAAGCTTGATTAACAGTCTGATCTGGTGGAATGAACTCCAAATGCACTACGAGTAGACATTTTCACCTGGTCAGGAAGTTGCTGGACATCCAGAACGAGGTTTGTCATCAATCGACATTTCACCTTTCTGAA